TATATAAGAAGAAGTGATTTTTTCTATGTTTTGCATGAAACTTGTATTTTATGTAGTTTTTTATTTTTCTCAATAAACAACCAGATATGTTCTATAACTTCTGGCTGGATTTCTTTGGAGAACAAGATAAAGACATTGCATTCTTTAAATCTCTCTAATGCTGGTGTGTATTTTTTGGCATGAACTGTGGTTATATCTGCACTCTGCCTAACATGTTCAACTAAGATGTGCCCTGATCAGTAGGGTTCTGTTACATGGAAGATAGGTCTAACCCTTTGCATCAGCCAATAGTACCTGACTGGTCAACACTTCCAAGGTCCCCTTTCAGCCATTGTTTTTAGAATTGCTCAGGAGAGCAAGTTTTTGCTTAAAATTGGGAATTGAAAGCGGATGGAATAAATCCAAGGAGGATCAAGTTAGGGAGGCTTACTAATCATGATACTAAATATTACTAGCAATATCAGAGGTATTAAGTCTTTGGCAGTAGTTGCTGGAGAAAGTTCTACTGTCCTTTGCATGGCTTTTTGCTTTGTGAAGCCATCTGGTTGACCACTGGGGAACTAGAATGTCACCTTGAAATGCCTTTGTTCTGATTCAAAAGGATTTTCTATGGAAGCTTCCCAGTTTGACCAACCACCAAACTGCAGGTAGCAGTTGCTTAGTGAGGTATCTTCACACCCATGGATAACTCTACCCATCCTTCCTATCGCTTCCTCCAAAGGGAGGGATATGAGTTGTGGCTGACCCCTGCTTGAATTACATGGAAGAGTATGGAGATGGCCTTGAAGAAGGCCACAGCCCTCAGGCAAACACCATCTTAGCCTTGGAAGAGAGGAGAGACTGAGAAAGAAACTCAAGATTGCCCTGCCATGATTCTCTTTGGTATAAGATGAGGGAGAGAATCTCAGTCAGGCTTTCAAGTTCTGTTATTTTACCCTGCAACAGTAGTTTACAGCAGTCCTGGTGGTGTCTGTTTCCTGACTTGGTTGACCTCAAAGGGCGGACAAATTACGAGATTTTCCTGACCTCTGATCTTTTCATCCTTTCTTAGTTATTTTTTATTTATTATTAAATTTGTATGCTATTTTGTATGAGTTATTGATCCGAGCATCTGGCCAGCTCTTCAAACTTGCCTTGTGGTTAGCCCTCTGATTCTGATTTGCTTTCTGGTCCTAGCTCTTGTGTGGTCCCACGATAATTGGCTCACGAGGGTTCCTTTGATATGTCTCATATTTCAAGCCCAGCATGTTTGGGTCTCTCTTTTTCACTTTTCCTAAGAACAGCTGCAGAGTGGCTGATTTGACATAGATTTGATGTAAAAGTAGAAGAGTCTAATTCTTTCCCTTTGGGAATATTTTATGGTGAACTACTATTAGTTCCAGGGATGGGGTTGTGGATTATGTAGGAACTCTTGTTTCCACGTGGTTCCCCCTCCTTCCGTAACTAACGGTAATCCTGTCCCCTCGCCATGTATGTTATTTACAATAGCAATCCAATTATATGGCATATGTGTTTACAGGGAATTCCTAAAATATATGTTCAGATTTTTCTCCTGGGGATCTATCAATGTGTCAGAAACTCAGAAATCATCTGCAGATATATGAATTCCAGTGAGGCAACTAGTGCCATTTTCACAACATCCACAGATGTTGAGCAGGATAGTCAGGGCAAAAGTACTTTGCAACTATGAGTCCCAAGCTAGATCATGTTGCAAGCTATAGCGCCTAGAATGAAAATGTAAGCTGACAAGATAGCTTAGAGGGACAAACTGCCAAATCTTGTTATAATAGATTTTTTCCCCTAGAGCTCACACTTGCCTGTATTCCAGCCATTCCCAGGAAAATACAGCCCGTAAGTCAGATAATAAAATAGGAATATTTAAAGCATTTTTTTTCCCTTTCAGATCCACTAATCCTTTAGTGATAAAAATGGACTGTGGCCTAGTTCAGGCTCAACACATTAAGGCAAATGCTGGGTTTATACAACGCATCAAAACTAAATTAGCATAACATGATTGACCTAACATCTTGGCCTAGCTCTTACTATAGGCTGAAAGAAAATGAGTTGCCACAACAAGTTGGATCCAGTCCCATTTTACCTTAGCTTACTGTGCTATTTGAAGCCAGCAGTGTATTAGCCATGCTTTATGGCTTAGTATATTGTGCACAACACATTGTGGTTTATTCAATAACCCATCGCTAAGCCAAGTATAGCTTATTGTTCTAGAAACTCAGTCTAATTCTGAAGCAGCCCTGAAATCAGAATCATAGCACCCCTAAATCTTCCCTGCAAAGTACAGGAAACCCATTTGTATCACTAGTTCACAAGTCTGATGTAACATCAGAAGATGCTTAACATGAAGTAACATTATGGTTCAGGTTTTGTACTCTTCATACAAGGAAGAATGTCCAGGGCTAGTTTGGCCAATGGGTTTCAGGCCCACTCATGTATTTTCCTGTGAAATAAGAGCAAATGTAATGTTGTAGTTGGAGAACTGATTAACCAATTGATCAAGGAACTCAGTGGGTGATTTGGGGTCAGTCATTCTCTCTCCATCCAATGTACCTCACAGGGTTGTTGTGTATATAAAATCAGGGGAGATCTCCACATATGTTCCCCTGACTTCTGAGGTGAGATATAAATGCACTAAATAAGCAACAGGAAGTTGGCAGCTTAATTTAGCTGCCTTAAATTAAGTAAATTGTACTTACTTCAGTCATATCTCCATATGATAAGAGTTCCAGATCTGATTTGAGACTGCAAACATCGATGGTATGATTGTACCTAAAATATTAAAACTGAACTGAACTCCAAGCAAAGATCCTCAGCAAATTTCTTTCATTTCTATGAATGAGCCCTATATAATTACTGTGACTGTTACTGGAGAAGCCTCCTTGAATGTATAGTATTGCCAGCTGTCTGGTCTTCGCTTTCTCATGACCTACACTTAAAATGAAATTGAAAACTTATCATTTATCATACAATTTCAGACTTCATTGGATCTGCCATTACAAAAACCTAAGTTATTGTGTTCAAACAGGTTAACAACCACGGAAGGGTTTCCTGAAAAACACCTGTGCTGCGTCCTCCTCCATCACAAATTCAGGCATATGACGACTTAGCCATGATGATAAGATGTAACAAAGGTAGAACCTCTCCGGGTAAGGAGAGGACGGAAGATTGCCCATTCATGCTTTGGATGGCTTCTCCTCATGAGGAGACCACAGGACACCGGTTTCCTGTGGGTTGGAGTGCCTGGAGAAGGGATCAACATGCTCTCAACCACTGCGCAGCTTTTTAAAGCACTGTGATGGAATGGAATTATGAAGGCCACACTCAGGGAGGCAAGCATCCTTCCTGAAGGGTGAGGAAGAGATAAGAGGATGAGGCTGGCACA